TAACAAAAAAAAAAATACAGCTTTTTATTGAGGCCAAAATCTGTTAATGCATTATTGTTGTATTGATGCCTAGGGCCCAGGATGTCGGTATCTCACATGGCAGAAGGAGCCCAATGGTTTCTGCGTCTCTGTGTATTTTCCTGACATTGATCATTACGTGAATCCTCGCTGTATTCTGATTGGGTGTATGGTGTTTCTAAATACTCAAAACGTAGTTGTGTATTAAAATGTGAATCAAAATTCATTCTGTGTTTTCCTGTAGTTTCATGAGCTGCATCCTCTTTATTTAAAATAAAACTAAATATTACCAATTACTATGCCAATAATACAAGAGGAAAAACACTATTAGAGAGAGGGTTAATCGTTTGGAGTGTATAAGTCTATAATAGTTTGGTAACTGGAATATGTAATGGTATAAATACTGAGCCTATTAAAGCAAGTACTTTTCAGAAATGATTATTTAGAGCACTTAAAGGACGCAGCTCATAAATCATGTTTAGTTTTGCATTCCCCTTGGCAGCAGCTGTCGAGCACATAGGCCAAAGTAAGCTTGTATGAATGTTTTTCCTTAACAGCCCCGCGCGCTTAAACAAATATGGGCCACGTACCTCTGGGGTGCCGGAGGTGGCAGTCACCCCTGCCATCAAGCCATTTCTTTTATACATGCTCCCCAACGGGACTCTGGGAGATTAGATCAGTCTCAGCTGGTGACGGACCATGACAGACGGAGATTACCTGCAGAGTAAAACGGAACAAACATTAGTCGCGTCTGCGAGCAGAAACACATACGTCTTGGCTTCAGAGTGTTTTCACGGGTGCAGTGTGTGTAATACATATTAAAATTGCTATTAAGATAAATAAATATTTTCTTTGCTGGGGATTTGCTAGACGGATCAGCAGAAGGGAATTACCTCCAAAAGCGCGATGGGCAAAGGACTTAATGCAGCAGCTTAAGAAATTAAAAGTCACACCTAAACTGGCGATGTTGTAATTACACCTGCAAGGAACTGCTGTCAGCCAAAACCCCTGTCCTGTTATAAGGGAGATTCTGCAGCAGCCAAGGCTTGCCCTAGCAAAGAAAATGAATTACGTTTCTAGTCCGTTCTCACACCTGTTTTCACAAAGAGCCGTCTTTAGACTGTAATGGTTTATAAAATGGCATTGTGTTCATTTAGTCCTCCATTTAAAACCTACCAGACCACCTGCTGCGCAAAATATTTCACCTAGAGAATTTTAGTTTTTGTAAAAGAGTAAATACATTTTGATGGAGTACTTTTGATATAGATATTTTTACAATCCTGGCAGGGCAGAGGGAGCTTAACTGCCAACCCCTTAGGAATACAAATTGAAACAACTTTGCACTTACCGTATTTATCGGCGTATAACACGCACTTTTTCTCCCTGAAAATAGGGGGCAAATTATGGGTGTTATACGCCGGACCTGTCAAGAGCGGTCAGGCGGCTGCAGTTGGTTCTCACCTCCCCTCCCCTGTTGCGTGGCCGAGCTGCTCTGCTGTTCGCGGTGCCCGGCCGGAGTGATAGGAAGGTGCACGCTCAGTGTGCACCTTCCTGTCAGTCCGACTGGGTACAGGAAACAGAAACTCCTGTTCCGCGTGGAACAGGAGTTTCTGTTTCCTGTACCCGGTCGGACTGACAGGAAGGTGCACACTGAGCGTGCACCTTCCTATCACTCTGGCCGGGCACCGCGGACAGCAGAGCAGCTCGGCCACGCTACAGGGGAGGGGGTAAAAAGGGGGGGGGATAAAAGAGAGTGGGGGGGTGTAAAAAGAGAGTGGGGAGTAAGAAGAGGGGGAGGGGGGAGTAAGAAAGGGGGGTAAGAAGAGGGAGGATGGGGGTAAGAAGAGGGGGGAGGGGGGTAAAAAGTTCTTTATTTGAAATTTAAGTTGTTTTTTTCCTGAAATTTCCTTCTTAAAATGAGGTGCGTGTTATACGCCGGTGCGTGTTATACGCCGATAAATACGGTAATTTACATCTCATCCACAAGCTACGCCGACTCTGTTGTACATTTAGCAGTTTATTCACTAAACAATACGGTTTGCGTGCACAACAACAAAGTTGGAATTTTTATTTCTAAAAAGCCAAGGAAAATACAACTGGTTCTAGAAGCTTTTCCACATGACAATATTGCATTTTTTGACTCACTAAAACTCACAGTTTAGTGACCAGGGTCCTAAAACATAAATTGGGAAAGGTGGATAATTAAATTAGATTAGATAATGCACTCCAAGGTGATGTCTGTAAGACATATAGGTCCTCCTGCAATTTAGACAAACTCTTTTCAACATGTGTGAGAGACTGTATATACACATCTTATACATCCTTGTATTTATCTCTACAACAGAAAAGCAATGGTCAGTCAACTAAAAACAGGAATGCTTACCCAAGCCTTATTTATTAGGTTTTTCTAAATCAAGCATGTCAAACTTGCGAACCGAGGGCCACATACGACCCACGATGATAATTTTTGCGGCCCGGTGAGCCGCGAGTCCATGCTTAGTGTTAAAGCAGAGTAGGCACCTGCGTTCTCCACACTGCAGACGCCTACTTTGCTAAAATGTACCCGGCCAGGGAGGAGAGGTCGCTGGAGGAGCTCAGTCTTCCTGCTCCTCACTGCTCCCACGGGTGCTCCGTCTGTAGTGGTGCTGGAATATGACGTCATATTCCGGCACCCGACATCACTAAAATACGCGTGAGGGAGCAGAAAGGAGATCTCCAGATAGAAGATCCCTACTGGACCGCAGGGAGAGGTCCCACACCAGCTCCCAAAGGTAGGGAGCAATAAATAAAATGATGTGAGTGTGTGCAAGAACGTGTAAATGTGTGTCTGTCAGTAAGTGAGTGTGTGTGTGTGTGTCTGTGAGTATGTGTGTCTGTCAGTATTGTGATTGCCGTGGCTAGACAATGGAGGATCTGGAGGCACGCAACGCCACGTCACATTCCCTCATGACGTCGACGTGCTCCACCTTCACGGGGTTTCCAAAAGTAGCGAGAGCATCCACTTTGGCACAAGGTGTGGGAAGGCGCCATTTAGGGTATACCAGAGGCCGGTCTCCGGAGTTGCATACTGGCAGCGGCAATGTGAGTGGAGTCTGCTTGTTGGCTAGAGGGGGGTGCTGGGATTTAGTAGAGGGAGTGGGGACTGGTATTTAGTGTGGTTTAGTAGAGGGGGGTGAGGTTTGTTTGTTTTTATACTGTACTTTTCAAAATAAATCTACATTTCTATGAAAATGTAAGTTGTTTTTTTTTGCGGCCCACATAAACTTAAACCTTGTTTATTTGGTCCATGCTAGACTTTGAGTTTGACGTGCTTGTTCTAAATGGTACCAACAATTCAATAGTGTCCACTACTGAGCACTAATCAAATATTAATATTTACAGAGCACCAACAAATTCTGCAGTGCTGTCTGATCGCTTTATAAGTCACAACAAATTAATTTGGATAAATTGTATCTCAGAAACTTATGATCTCCTGGGATTGTAAAGTCCAACAGTCTAAAGTTCACAGAGAATGAAGAGGAAAAAAAAGAAGCTTCCAGTAAGCAACAATTCTGCGACCAAAAACAATTTGTTAACGACAGAGGTTAGAGGAGAATGACGACATGGGTTCAAGATGAAGTAAACATTAGTAGCTGCATAGGTGCCAAGAGTCACGTATTTTGGGTTACTGTCCCAGCAAGGTCCGGGGGACCTGTCCCGCTTTTTGAAATCTGCCAGCAGACCGCTGTCCTGGATGGTGGGCAGGGAAGATTGGCAGGTATGTAATTGAAATATCCACACATTGCAACAGTGCTATACAGAATACACAACACAGCGAACCCTTAAAGTGGATGGGCAGGAGGAGACCATATCAGATCAATGTGGGCAGCAGGAGACCATATCAGATCAATGTGGGCTGCAGGCGACCATATCAGATCAATGTGGGCTGCAGGCGACCATATCAGATCAATGTGGGCAGCAGGAGACCAGATCAGGTCAATGTGGGCAGCAGGCGACTATATCAGATCAATGTGGGCAGCAGGAGACCATATCAAATCAATGTGGGTAGCAGGTGACCATATCAAATCAATGTGGGTAGCAGGAGACCAGATCAGATCATTGTGGGCAGCTGGAGACCATATCGGATCAATGTGGGCTGCAGGAGACCATATGAGATCAACATGGGCAGCAGGAGACCATATCAGATCAATGTGGGCAGCAGGAGACCATATCAGATCAATGTGGGCAGCAGAAAAGCAATGGTCAGTCAACTAAAAACAGGAATGCTTACCCAAGCCTTATTTATTAGGTTTTTCTAAATCAAGCATGTCAAACTTGCGACCCGAGGGCCGCATACGACCCACGATGATCATCTTTATCAGATCAATGTGGGCAGCAGGAGGACATATCAGATCAATGTGGGCTGCAGGAGACCATATCAGATCAATGTGGCCAAGAATTTCTAAAGAAAGCTTCCAGGGCCTTATCGAGTACACGCCACAAACCATTCAGGCCGTTCTGGGGAAAAGAAAGGGGGTGGCAGTGTTCTCCTCTGTATGTGTACCTAGCTATGGATACATGGTGTCTGCAAACCTGTGACTATGTGGACATGGCAGTCCAACCAGTCTCAGCCAGCTGTCTGAGCAGAACGTAAACCGTATTCTCCAGCAGTTGAAATACCAAATAATCAATCACTGCAGCACAGATTCTATTATGGTGGTATTAACATGAGACTCAATACTGTATCACTGTTAAAATAAAAATATAAAAAAATTGCAATTTGCAAGTTACTCAACATTCTAAAAAGCACATCTCCAGAAATATACAGCAGAGACTGCTTTACTGAGAACAAGATCATTTCTTATGATTGGAAAGTAGGCAAACAGACAGGGTTCCCAACCAGCCAAAAGCAAATTGCCCAATTAGTGTTGTAACAGGGCCAAGCTAATCAGAGATTGCAGTTACTGCTATAGAACCAGGGTTACGAAAACAAACAGGCTACCAAGCAAGGCAATAACAAGACACTGAAACAGAGACAGAGAGAAGGAATGACGAACTGGAGTGACGAGATGGACACGGAGAAAATGGATCCACAAAACTATTCGACTGATTTAACGAAAAACAAAAATCCGTTCATTATTTTCTTTTGATACATAAAGCTTTAACGTGTTGTGAGAACAAGACGAGTCAGAGTTTGGCTTAGACTGGCAGGTAGGTGGATCAGTCATAGTTATGGCATTAGGGATTAGCAAGATACAACAAAAAGCAACATTTGTGAGAGTGAATATTACTATGAAATGGTTATTTAATCGTGAATTGTAAAAATTAATTTCACATTTAAGGGGTGTGGCCAGGAGCGGGGCTGTCCGGAGAATTTTTAGCTGATTTACTAATAACAATTTATGCCACTAAAATACAACTTAGAAAAAGAATAATGTACCGTATATATTCGAGTATAAGTCAACCCGAATATAAGCCGAGGCACCTAATTTTGCCACAAAAAATTGGGAAAACTTATTGACTCGAGTATAAGCCTAGGGTGGGAAATGCAGCAGCTACTGGTAAATTTCTAAATAAAATTAGATTGCATTAAAATTACATTAATTGAATATTTATTTACAGTTTGTGTATATAATGAATGCAGAGTGTGTGTGTTTGTGTAGTGTGTATATAATGAATGCAGAGTGTGTGTGTTTGTGTAGTGTGTATATAATGAATGCAGAGTGTGTGTGTTTGTGTAGTGTCTGTATATAATGAATGCAGAGTGTGTGTGTGTGTGTGTGTGCAGTGTGTGTATATAATGAATGCAGTGTGTGTGTGTGTGTGTGCATATAATGAATGCAGTGTGTGTGTTTGTGTGTAGTATGTGTATATAATGAATGCAGTGTGTGTGTGTGTGTGTGTGTGTGTGTGTGTGAATTCAGAGTGTGTGTTTGTGCAGTGTGTGTATATAATGAATGCAGAGTGTGTGTTTGTGTAGTGTGTATATAATGAATGCAGAGTGTGTGTGTGTTTGTGTAGTGTGTGTATATAATGAATGCAGAGTGTGTGTGTGTTTGTGTAGTGTGTGTATATAATGAATGCAGAATGTGTGTGTGTGTGTGTGTGTGTGTGTGTGAATTCACTGTGTGTGTATGTAATGAATGCAGAGTGTGTGTGTGTGTGTTTGTGTAGTGTGTGTATATAATGAATTCAGAGTGTGTGTTTGTGCAATGTGTGTATATAATGAATGCAGAATGTGTGTGTGTGTGTGTGTGAATGCACTGTGTGTGTATATAATTAATGCAGTGTGTGTTTGTATGAATGCAGTGTGTGTATATAATGCAGAGTGTGTGTTTGTATGAGTGTGTGTGTGTGTGTGTATATATATAATGCAGAGTGTGTGTCTGTATGAATGCAGAGTGTGTGTGTGTTTGTGTAGTGTGTGTAAACTAGGTGGGGGAGGGCATTTTTATTATTTTTAATATTTGTTTATTTTAATATTTGTTTCTTTTAATATTATTTTATTTTAATATTATTTTATTTTAATATTATTTTTATTTTAATATCACAAAATGTAATTGTTTAATGTTTTATTTTCTCCCCCCTCCCTGGTTGTTGCCTGGCCAGGGAGAGGGGCTATATTATTTCCTGGTGGTCCAGTGTTGTGTACTGTGCGGGGGGAGCGGCAGCAAGCTGCTCCAGTCAGCTCCCTTCACCTCCGTTCCCTTCCGTTCACAGTGTAAGTCTTGCGGTCTGCATGCCGCGCAGAATGTTGCGACGGTAACCCGTGGCAACGCTCTGACGGCCGCGGGTGTCGCAAGACTTACACTGTGAGCGGAAGGGAACGTAGGTGAAGGGAGCTGACCGGAGCTGCTACAAAGGTAAGTAACAGCTTGCTGCCGGCCCCCCCAGGACTGCCAGGCTTGTAATGAGCACGGCGGTCCTTGTCTGTATTATGGCAATGTAAGTGGCAAAAAATGTGCAGAAAAACTCTGCTTATACTCGAGTATATACGGTATCTTATTTGCACAGACTGATTTCTAAACACATTTATTGTAGTTTAAAGAGACATTACTGGGAGTATTATTGCTGTGGAGCTCTGTTATACACTCAGACACATTACTGGGCGTATTATTGCTGTGGAGCTCTGTGATATACTCAGACACATTACTGGGAGTATTATTGCTGTGGAGCTCTGTTATACACTCAGACACATTACTGGGCGTATTATTGCTGTGGAGCTCTGTGATATACTCAGACACATTACTGGGAGTATTATTGCTGTGGAGCTCTGTTATACACTCAGACACATTACTGGGAGTATTATTGCTGTGGAGCTCTGTTATACACTCAGACACATTACTGGGAGTATTATTGCTGTGGAGCTCTGTTATACACTCAGACACATTACTGGGAGTATTATCGCTGTGGAGCTCTGTTATACACTCAGGCACATTACTGGGAGTATTATTGCTGTGGAGCTCTGTTATACACTCAGGCACATAACTGGGAGTATTATTGCTGTGGAGCTCTGTTATACACTCAGACACATTACTGGGAGTATTATTGCTGTGAAGCTCTGTTATACACTCAGACACATTACTGGGAGTATTATTACTGTGGAGCTCTGTTATACATTCAGACACATTACTGGGAGCATTATTGCTGTGGAGCTCTGGTATACACTGAGACACATTACTGGGAGTATTATTGCTGTGGAGCTCTGTTATACACTCAGACATTACTGGGAGCATTATTGCTGTGGAGCTCTGGTGTACACTGAGACACATGACTGGGAGTATTATTGCTGTGGAGCTCTGTTATACACTCAGACACATTACTGGGCGTATTATTGCTGTGGAGCTCTGTGATATACTCAGACACATTACTGGGAGTATTATTGCTGTGGAGCTCTGTTATACACTCAGACACATTACTGGGAGTATTATTGCTGTGGAGCTCTGTTATACACTCAGACACATTACTGGGAGTATTATTGCTGTGGAGCTCTGTTATACACTCAGACACATCAACAACAACGTGGAGCTCCTAGAAAATTCTGTCATATGCTAACTTTAATCGAATACTGATAAATTTTGACTTTCTATGTTCCCAAGGAAGGCAAGTCCGAGAGATTGTTTAGGGAGTATATTAATATGTATTAATTATTATAATGAATAATCAACCCCAGGCAGACACATTTCTCATATCGTCTCCATGCATTTTGTAAATACTTTTGAAAAATTATATTAGTGGAGTCACTAAACATATTATTATTAGGATTTGTAGTTAGAAGGCTTTTTATGCAAATTAACCTTTCAGCCTTCTGACAGCACCAATCTGTGACAGCTAAGAATTTAGAAGCAGAAGATCTTTGCTTTAACATAAGATACTGTTTTCAATTATCTAACTGTAGAAACTGTAGCCACGTAGGATCCATTTTAAGCAGGAGTATATTTAAATCAGAAAGCTACAGCCGTTGAAATAAAACACTCATTGTCCTCTGACATCCTCACACTCACAGAGCAGGGGTGCAACTGCATGACAGCCTCAAATTGAATATAATCCTAAATAGAAGACATGCGTCAGTCAGTGGATTAGTAACTAGGATTGCCCCATCTGGTTTGCCGTAGGAAAATGTCGGAGTCTATGTCCGTGTTCTCAATTAGAACCCTGCTGGCAGCCAATCAGAAACAAGCGCAAGACAGATACTCCGCTCCCCACATTTTCAAATCCATCCTCCTTTCCCAATGGGGTCAGAAATCAGAACTACATAACCCTTGCTGGTTTAAACCTTCCAAAAACACACCTCTCAGCTTTTTAAATGGACAGAGAGGGACACTTTCATTTTAGGAGTGTGAGGGCCAGAGGCGGGGCTGTGACTAATAATTTATAGAAATATAATGTAACTTAGAGATCAGTCTGTGTAAATAAGATACATTGTTCTTGTTCTAAACACATTTATTGCAGTTTAAAGACACATTACTGGAATAATTAAAGCGGCACTGTCATGACGAACTTACCTTCCCCAATCGCTTCCTCTTCTCTTCCTCTCTCAGAATCTGTTCCTTTCTGATCAAGTTTTCTTTAATCCAAGGTAGTGACTAGTTTGAATTATGTATTTTTCCTGTGCTTGACCTTCCATGACCAAAGGAGGAGCTTAAGTCAGCTCCATTTCCCGTGTCAAAGAAATTTCCCCACAATACTCACCTTTCCTCGGTGTTCTCTCATTGCTTCATTCACTGTGAACGAACGTCCTGTCATATAGATAAGGCACGGCCGAATTGACTGAATTTTGTCAGACATTCAGTTGAAATTCGGTCATTATGTTCGGTTCGGAATTTCACCTATTGTCTCTCCCCAGGCCCCCACCCATTAGTGGCAGGAGGAAGCCCTAAGTGACAAAAATGGTCCCCACTCATTAATAGGCATTCCCCTACTCGTGGCATAGTGAGTAGGGGCGAGAGGCAAATTTTCATCTCTTATGCTAATATGAGAGTTATATTGACCCACACAGAGTGAGGGGGTGCATGGGGGTTTTAGGAAGTGCCGCTTCTATGTTTAAACCTCGCAAACCGTTAGCTCCCTCCTTGTAACAAACTAAACAAAGACCGGATTTAAATTCAGTCTTCTTTCATTCATTCTTTGTCATTTCTATTTGTTCATTCGTCTTTCTGACTAATGAACGAACAGCCGATATTCTCGTCAGAGTACAATTGGGCATGCTTGGGAATTTCATAGCGCTATCTAGGGTGGGCAGATGATGTGTCCTGCAGGGCCTTTATCTGCCCACACTAAGATTGCAACGCCTAGGAACTAGTTCCTTGCAAGTAATAAACAGGTACAAAAATCGGAAATGAGAGACCTACGGGCATCTGGGGGTGGCTAGGGGGACAATCAAATGTAGTAAAGTTGGGAGGGGAGTTAAAGGAAAACGGATGCAGCCATGACATTATCCAACTTGGGAGGTATGCAACAAGCCCACAACCAACTATTATTAGTGAAAAAGACAGTTCATTCCATTTGCCAGTGCAAAATCTCACTGTATTTTATACTGGCGGTGGGTGGCACTGTAAACGGTCACAAATCACAGCCAGGCCCATTTTATAGTCTACTTTTTTTGCAGCAGACAGATATTATAAAATAGACATGTTGGGAAGTCTTGGAAAATCCACATCAGCATCCATCAAAAAAAAAAACTGTTATTTGGTTTAAGCTGAAAGATAGACTACATAATCGTATTCTGATTAATGACAGAAGCTCCACACGGCACCAAGCAAGAAGAGACCTTTATAGCTTATTGTGTGAAACATATTCATGGAGTTTGATGTACCAAGACTTCAGTCTAGAGATGACATGATTAAGCCATCAAAATGACAAATGGACCTCGATTTATTTCAAAGTATAAGCCTGTCCTCGGTTAGATGCAAGCTGGCATGCTACCTGATAGGTGTGAGTTTATCATTTAACATTTTCTACCTCAATCAAGATTACATCAAGCCTTTGGAGCATCAATGGGGTCTTTTAGACCACCTAGATATTCATGTGCTATAGGATTTTTTGAGGGGTGGGGGATGGTTGCGTGAAGCCAATTGTAGAAATATATATATATATATATATATATATATATATACATACACACACATATCTTGAAATGTAGCTCCACCCCCTTGTCTCTCTTTTCTAAGAGGAAGAGAGAAACAATCAAATAGGATGTGTACAACAGTACATTTCCCAGAAACCCTTTAACCGAGTTTCTAATTTTTCTATTAATTCTCTATTACTGAAAAATATACTCCATTATCTAATATCACAGAGATGGCACGCAGCACTGCTAGCTAATCAGTTGAGCGCATGAAAGAGTCATCAAAATCAGACAAATTACAACAACGGTAACCTGCAGCAAAGAGCACGTCTAACCAGGTGCTCGTCCTCTACTTTCTAGACAATTAAAAACCTTTAGAACATGGGCCCAGAATTGGGCTCTCATATTCAACCGTACTGACCTGATTCACAACTACCAAAATAGTGGAGACTTTTGTACCATTTCCCCCAAAGACCCAGGGAGATAAAGTATTACTACAGGCCAAAACGTTCAGGACACAGTGGGCAATGGGTGACTATACTAAAGCACTGTCATAAGCTTCCTTATGCCTTATTGTACACCAGCAGGCAGGGGTCTCAATACCCTACTGTACAGGTTTCTGGTAGTCAAACTAAGTTCCACTTTTAAATGCTTTTTATCTCGTTCAGAGGAATTATCTGCATAAAGAAAGCATCGATTATTTTCTTTCCCCTCTGTAAGGAAGTTGCTGTGAAGCTGTCACAAGAGCGCCACCTAGTGTTTCTAAAAGATAAGACATTAGGACAAGGTAGGTCCTATTCACTGCTTGATTTGCAGATGTTTTTTACGGTGTTATTTTTCATGGTGTTTTCAAGCATTTCTGGCAAGGTTTACATTAATATATGTATTTTGGGGGTCTTTTTAAAAACACACACATCATTTAATGAACTAATTTGCAGGCCATATAATCACCGATTTCTGCCAAAGACTGTGATAGTCCCATATCCCCGCTCCCTTTTTCCTCAAAGCTTCTGGAAAGACTTGTCTTTACCCGTCTGACTTTCTTCCTCAACTCTCTCGTTGACCCTCTTCAGTCTGGATTCTGCCCCCTCCACTCCACAAAGAATGCTCTGATTCGAGTTACAAATCATCTAATTGCAGCTAAATCCAAAGGACATTACTCTGTGCTAATTCTTCTTGACAACTCTGGTGCGTTTGACACTGTTGATCACGGCCTTTTGTTCAGTATTTACAGATCAAAATTAAGGAGAGGGACATAAGTTAAGAAAAAAGACAAAGGAGTCATTTGTTACATGTGAGTTTACAGAGGAAGAGGTTCTATTTCAACTGTCAAAAGTAAAGACAAATACGTCAATGGGACCTGATGGAATACACCCAAAGCTATTAAAAGAGCTTAGTGGTGTATTAGCAAAACCATTAACAGATTTATTTAACCAATCATTGTTAACAGGAGTAGTCCCAGAAGATTGGAAGTTAGCGAATGTTGTGCCCATTTACAAGAAAGGTAATAGGGAGGAGTCGGGCAACTATAGGCCAGTAAGCCTTACTTCAGTAGTGGGGAAAGTGATGGAAACCATGTTAAAGGATAGGATTGATGAACATCTAAAAACACATGGATTTCAAGATCAGAGACAACATGGGTTTACTTCAGGGAGATCATGCCAAACTAATCTTATTGATTTTTTGATTGGGTAACTAAAATAAAAGATCAGGGTGGTGCAGTAGACATTGCTTACCTAGATTTCAGTAAGGCTTTTGACACTGTTGCACATAGAAGGCTCATTAATAAACTGCAATCTTTAAGTTTGGATTCCAATATTTTTGAATGGATAAGGCAACAGTGTGACAGGCAACAGAGGGTTGTAGTCAATGGGGTGTATTCAAAGCATGGGCTTATCATGGGCTTGTCACCAGTGGGGTACCTGAGGGATCTGTACTTGGACCCATTCTCTTTAATATTTTTATTAGTGATATTGCAGAAGGTCTTGATCGTAAGGTATATCTTTTTGCTGATGATACTAAAATTTGCAACAGGGTTGTTGTTCCAGGAAGGATAAGCCAAATGGCAAATGATTTAGATAAATTAGAAAAATGGTCAGAGCTGTGGCAATTGACATTTAATGTGATTAAGTGCAAGATAATGCATCTTGGGCTTAAAACCCAAGGGCAGGGTATAGAATATTTGAAACCCTACTAACCTCAACATCTGAGGAAAGGGATTTAGGAGTAATTATTTCAGATGACTTAAAGGGAGAAAGACAATGTAATAGAGCAGCAGGAAATGCTAACATAATGCTGGGTTACTTTCCATGAGAGAAATGATTTAGAAATGTGTGTATGTTTCAAAGGCATTTCTCTCAGTAGGAGATTAGTGATTGGCTGACAGCGTTATCTAACACTCTCAGCTGATCACTGGCGACCAAGGGAATTGCTTCTTCATTGAATCCGGGGTCATAGGAAAGAGAAGACAGTCAAGAGACAAGGTGTCATGACCAGAACTTTAAGGTTAAACTGTTCAAATACAGTTAAACCTTTTAAGGTACGATGGCATTCAGGACATTTAGACACCACAAGGACTTCATTGTGTTGAATTTGTTGTGATGCCCAGAGTGTTCCGTTTCTATCTTTATAAAAAGATCTCAAGTAAAAGTTTCACTTTAATATTTGAAAATATTATGGTTTTCAAACGGTAGGGTTACATTTTCAATTTTAATGGGACACTGTAGGCTCTGGTATTTGCTTTATCTCACTGAAGTGGTTATATTGTCTTAAGTCCCCGGTGCCCACCTTCCATTCAATGTTAAACTATTTTTAATGTTTGAACGCTAAACAAGGGTCCCAAGCAGTCCATCCCCTCGGTGCTGCTTGGGCTAATGAGGAAGGAAGCAGTAGTCAGAGTAGCAAAAGGCAGCTGTGATAGCATACCACCATTAGGGGTCAATCTATGCAACTCAATTAGTATTAAACTGCTGGAAAATGATTTAACACTGAATGGAGGGACAGACCTAGAGGTCGAGGCACTATAACTACTTCAAAACACAGTGTCCCTTTGAATACAGCTTGCCACGTCAATGTAAGAACACTCACCCATGATGCTGCCTGGTGACCAGTCACAAATCTTTACACATATAAGATCCCGGACATTTGGATGGCACTGGTGTTGTCCAGTCAGCTGTTCTGAAAAAAAAAAAAAAATTTGGTTTATTAGTAAATATTACTATACAAGTAAATTAAGGTTTGCTTAAAAAAGAGTCAGAACTTCTTTCTCAACAAAATAAAAACTATTTTATGTTTATTTTTCTAATTCATTTTCTTCCATCATCTCCAAATTCTTAACAGAGTACAATGTACTATAAGTAACAAGTACTACACATTCCTTACATTAAAAACAGTACACAATTCATAGCATTCAGCTTACATAGAGAGTTTTCTTCAATAAACACGCTATGAAAATAAACAAACCATGAACCAACATAAGACATACATGACATTACACAATGGCCAATCCCTATCTTCCGTTTACTTTAGTGGATTTGGGCAAAAAAAAAACATGCGGAGATGATTGAGAACTTATATGGCTCCTACCTTATCCCACATTTAACTACCACAAACCACCCTTGTTTTCGTAGCTTGACTCTAAAGACGAAGAGCTCCCAAAACATGTTCTATTTGAGTTAGCCACTCGTTTAACATGTCTTTAGAGGCTCTCCTCGAACCCCCTTCCATTTTTAGCTGATATTTCATTTGTTTCTTGATCATAATCCACATGGGGGTAATAGATACTTTCCAATATCTGGCAATCAGCATTTTTGCGGCCAGTAATATACACGTTATTAGTGGGTTATGGATACTGATCGTTTAACATTAAGCTGTAATGAAGTTAGATCTGGACTAAAAAGGAAGGGGATGTGGATTCATTTAGAAATTTTACTCTCAATAATATTCAAGAACAGTTTGATAGGGAAACAGTCCCACCATGTTTGGAGGTTGTCGCCTTTTTGATCCCCACACCTCCAACATCTATTTTCTTTGCCTCGGGAAAATGTAGATATTCTACTCGGGACCAGATACCAACGATTTAAAAGTTTGAAATGGCATTCCAATAAATTAAGACAGTGAATATTTTTATGGACATTCCACGAACTTCCAATAACTTCATAAGCAATTTGAATATTTGAGTCTTCTTCCTATTTTTTTTAAAGTGGATTTAATATATTGTTCAGGATCGTTAATAACCCGTTCCATAAACCCAGCTAACTTAACTTTGTTAATGTTGTTTTTTTCAATAATTTCTCTAGAGTATTCACTTTTATCTGTTTTAGATGCTAAATTATATATTAAAAAAAAAAAACACCTTTATTCTTCGATAATTAAGGATTTCTTTACTGTCCAGGTTTTATTCTGCTTTTAGTATAGAAAATATTTTAACTTATTATTATTCAATAAATTGTTTATATTTAAAAGGCCAGCTTTGATCCAATTGTTTAGATTTAAATCTTCTATATTATAAGATATGCAACACAAAGGAAGGCAGGGAATTGATACATTTTTTGAATCAGTAAATCTTTCTTACATTTCTCCCATTGTTTTAAGGTATTTTCATGAATAATACTGTTGGTTTTCTCAGCTACGGGGCTTTTCTTTTTGCTCTTTATTTGCCAAAAAAGTGTTCTTAAATCCATTTTGTGTTGTTCTTTCTGGGTCAACATTTGTTCAATTTTGTACCATTTTTTTTTTTTTTTCTTTATTTTTGCAGTGCATAGTTTAGTAAACAAGCTCACAGTGACATTTTTAAACAAAAATATACATTGATATACATTGAGGTTGAGAGCAAGATTGTCGTAAAATGTCAACAGTTCAGCACTTTTTGTTTTTTAATAACATGGGAAAACAATGATGAAAACTGTACAGTGCCTATGAATGATAATAGAACAAGGTTGGTTATAGCGAGTGCATGTCTTAGGCACTTATATTGAATGCCACTATTAATAACAAGCTTAGTCAAAGATAGGCTAATAGACAACAATACTGTGTAGTGTAACATGCTAAACTAAATATGCGCCTAGCCAAACTAGTTGCGCTTAAGGTTATAGGTGTGAAACTGTGCATTAGTGAGGCTAGGAGCTTTTATGCTTAATGAATCAGTTGCACGTATTTAAGTGTAGAGATAAACCAACAGTTGTACCGCCAGTTTGAAACCAGCTCGGAGTACCACATTAAATAGGACCAGCTAGGGAAGTTATACAGATGCGGGTGCGGGAGACACACACAAGATGTCATTGCCCAAAAAAGAGAAAACTTTGCAAGGGGTGAAAACAACGGCATATCATATGTTGTCACGTTACTTTTAGCCAGGGTGTAGAGGGCAGTTCTTGCGATATGAGGGATGGTGAAAAAGTCCAGCTAGTGCGAGAAATGCCTAAAAAACGTTAGGTTAGACAGCTGCAGTATACGTGTGTGTGTGTGTACAACCCCTTTAGGTTGGTCTGAGTGGGTCATGTGTGGAAGTCCCCGCAGTGGCAACTGTTGTCCGTGGTTAGTCCCGTAATGGCAATACAGCTTTAGGCAGCGAGCCTGAGTTCAGCCTATCCCCAAGGCTGAGAAGTGTAAGTCCCGAGTGATGAGGGCGAAGGTGGCTGTAGCACTTGGATGGTTCTGTTGGGCGTCCTTCCAGCCCCAGGCCGGTTGATAGGCCAGCACCTTCGTGCCACGGACTTGGGGGCTCCTGAGGTCCCAGTCCTCCGCTCTGGGGGGTAGGCAGGAGGTTGTGGAGGCTGGTGGCCTCACGTGGCGGGTGGATCTCCGCCTGTGTGGACGGTGCCGTGGGGTTCTGCCCCTGGTGGCCCTCGGCCTAGGTGATCTCTTAGTGTGAGGAGGTACATGTGTTTTGGAGACATGAATGATCGAAGGGGGCTCACTCACCATCCGGTTCTCAGCCCCCGGTCGGCCTCCTGATGTTGGAGCTTTACTGCTTCTTGTCGTGCCTCCAGCATGGCCCAGAAGCGGGTGAAGAGTTCATCCAGCCTCCTTTGGGTGATCTGTGCCGAGTTTAGAGGCTCCGGCTCGTAGTGCTGGGAGTTTGCTCCTTGCATGGTAAGCTGGGCCGCCATTTTGTGTGATTCTGCAGTTGATGTATCTTAGTCAGGTAGGGTGATTAAAGTCGCTTGGCGCCAGGTTCAGGCTAGGAAGGACAGGGATATCCCCCGCCGGTCCAGAGGGGGGGGGGGGAGCAGTGCTGTTTTGCAGGCTTGGGAGGACACTAGGTCGCACAGAGCGGGGGATCGGCCGCCTCACCCGTCTGGCGATACTGCTAGGCCGCACTCCCGACACCCTCGATAGAAGCTCTGTGTACCCGGGAGACCCGGGGCACTTTGGCTGGCTCCTGAGGTAGGTATGCCTTTGTTTAGGCATTTGTGTGGGTCCTGGCTGGCTGGCGTGCAGTTAGTCAGGCTGTGCAGGTAGATTGAGCTCGGAGCTCACACGAGGCACGTCCAGCCGCCATGAAGTCCAGGCCCCGCCCCCCATTTTGTACCATTTTTGATCTTAAATATTATCTAGTTGCATGGTTAAAGCATGTGGTATATTGCAAGCCTTCTGGTAGTCTTCTAATATGGGTAGCCCTAGTCCTCCCTTTTTAACCTTTACCGCCAAGCATTTTCTTGACCATACAAACTTGTTGATAAGGGACTGTGCTAAAAGCATCCAGCTATCCGGACATGCTAATGGTACCAATCGAAATAAATAAATCCACTTTGGTAGGATATATGATCTGACTATGTTGATTCTCCGCCACCATGAGACCTCAGTGTTTCTCCATTCCCTCAATTTCTTACCCTTTTCTTTTAATAATGGCATAAAGTTAATTTACATTATTTTAGATGGGTCACGCGTGATCTCAATCCCCAGGCAACTTAACTATTCCTGGACTTTTAAACCAAAAGTCTGTTTTAAGCCTTCAACAACATACTGAGTGAGGCAAGTTTAACGGCAATGCGACCATTTTATCTAGATTCAGTTTGTAACCTAAAAGTAAAACTCCTTCATAAGGGATGTCAATTTCCTCATAGAATTTATTGGGTCACTCAGTGCAAGTACGATGTCATCTGCCAGTATCGTCTAGAATGTTTTAACCCTTACTTTGATTGTTGGCTCTATTGCCAGAAGGTATAAAAGTGGTGAGAGCGGACACCCCTGTCTGGTTCCATTATACAGGGAGTGCAGAATTATTAGGCAAATGAGTATTTTGACCACATCATCCTCTTTATGCATGTTGTCTTACTCCAAGCTGTATAGGCTCGAAAGCCTACTACCAATTAAGCATATTAGGTGATGTGCATCTCTGTAATGAGAAGGGGTGTGGTCTAATGACATCAACACCCTATATCAGGTGTGCATAATTATTAGGCAACTTCCTTTCCTTTGGCAAAATGGGTCAAAAGAAGGACTTGACAGGCTCAGAAAAGTCAAAAAGAGTGAGATATCTTGCAGAGGGATGCAGCACTCTTAAAATTGCAAAGCTTCTGAAGCGTGATCATCGAACAATCAAGCGTTTCATTCAAAATAGTCAACAGGGTCGCAAGAAGCGTGTGGAAAAACCAAGGCGCAAAATAACTGCCCATGAACTGAGAAAAGTCAAGCGTGCAGCTGCCACGATGCCACTTGCCACCAGTTTGGCCATATTTCAGAGCTGCAACATCACTGGAGTGCCCAAAAGCACAAGGTGTGCAATACTCAGAGACATGGCCAAGGTAAGAAAGGCTGAAAGACAACCACCACTGAACAAGACACACAAGCTGAAACGTCAAGACTGGGCCAAGAAATATCTCAAGACTGATTTTTCTAAGGTTTTATGGACTGATGAAATGAGAGTGAGTCTTGATGGGCCAGATGGATGGGCCCGTGGCTGGATTGGTAAAGGGCAGAGAGCTCCAGTCCGACTCAGACGCCAGCAAGGTGGAGGTGGAGTACTGTTTGGGCTGGTATCATCAAAGATGAGCTTGTGGGGCCTTTTCGGGTTGAGGATGGAGTCAAGCTCAACTCCCAGTCCTACTGCCAGTTCCTGGAAGACACCTTCTTCAAGCAGTGTTACAGGAAGAAGTCTGCATCCTTCAAGAAAAACATGATTTTCATGCAGGACAATGCTCCATCACACGCGTCCAAGTACTCCACAGCGTGGCTGGCAAGAAAGGGTATAAAAGAAGAAAAATCTAATGACATGGCCTCCTTGTTCACCTGATCTGAACCCCATTGAGAACCTGTGGTCCATCATCAAATGTGAGATTTACAAGGAGGGAAAACAGTACACCTCTCTGAACAGTGTCTGGGAGGCTGTGGTTGCTGCTGCACGCAATGTTGATGGTGAACAGATCAAAACACTGACAGAATCCATGGATAGCAGGCTTTTGAGTGTCCTTGCAAAGAAAGGTGGCTATATTGGTCACTGATTTGTTTTTGTTTTGTTTTTGAATGTCAGAAATGTATGTTTGTGAATGTTGAGATGTTATATTGGTTTCACTGGTAATAATAAATAATTGAAATGGGTATATATTTGTTTTTTGTTAAGTTGCCTAATAATTATGCACAGTAATAGTCACCTGCACACACAGATATCCCCCTAACATAGCTATAACTAAAAACAAACTAAAAACTACTTCCAAAAATATTCAGCTTTGATATTAATGAGTTTTTTGGGTTCATTGAGAACATGGTTGTTGTTCAATAATAAAATTAATCCTCAAAAATACAACTTGCCTAATAATTCTGCACTCCCTGTATAAATGGAACCATTCAGAGGAAAATCCGCCCCCTACCATGTAGGCCGTTGGGGAGGTGTACAAAGCCATTATAGAACGTTTGATATCACCCGTTATCCCAAAGGCCTGCAATGCTTCCTCCAGAAAGTATCACCTGATTCTGTCAAAGGCTTTTTTAGCATCCAGTGACAGAGCAAGGAGGGGCACGCTTTTCTTACAAGCCAGATCCATCACGTTTACCAGTCTTCTGATATTAAAAACTGGAGATCTACTTGCAACAATCCCCACTTGGTCCCAGTGTATTATCAGCGATATTATGTTAATAATTCTTGCTGCAATTACTGCAGAATACAACTTCATGTCTGTATTTAACAGAAAGATGGGCCTGAAATTTCCTATTATTTCTGGATGGAGGTATTTTCCCTGTGGACAGAATATAATTAAACATTCTAGTGTGCCTCCCCACAAGATTGGCATTCAAAATTTTATAAAAATAATTCCCAAAACCGTCTGGACCAGGGGACTTAGTCGTTTTTGATAGAATTAACAACCTCCTCTGGTGCGATAGACTTATTTAGTTTTAATTGATCTTGTAAAACTTTTTGTATTTTAGATTTAATTAAAAAATATCTTATATTAGTATATTAGTTGGGACTTGGTAGGTTATATAGGTTTGAGTAAAAGTCTTGAAATACCTGGCCTATTTTAGATGGTGCCAGAATAATGTTGTTACCCCGCGTTATTTTTGAAATAATTTTACTAGCTTTTTGGATTTTTAATCTAGTAGTGAGTAGCTTATCAGCCCTATTGCCTTATTAATACCATGTCCTTTTCAATTTTTCTAAATAGTAGTTCGCTTTTTGTATCAATAAATCATTAATTTCACCTCTGACTATTTTCAGTTTATTACCTGTTGCTGTCGACGGCCTTGCATTATTCACCTTTTCCAGATTGTCTAGCTGTAAGTATAGGTATGCTAGATTAGTTCAATTTCTTTTTTTTTTTCTTGGTGGCCTCATTTTATTAAATGGCCTCTTATAGTGCATTTGTAAGCGCACCATACTACAGGGGAAGTATATTATTTGGTGATAGAATCATTGACCCAGGGATATCAGGGATAAGGATATCAGCACCGTACATATCTTCGCTACATATGCACTTTATTGTTCTTATCTCTTAAAGACACCGTATCCAGTTCCATCATTTTTATTGCATCTAAGCCATTTTCACGAGCTAGCTCCTGGATTTTATGTACCCCATCTTAAGGTGCCACCTTTGTTATTTTATGTATAGGTTTTGGTGAATCCCTATTCCTTCCGGTGTGAGCAGCTTTGTGTTACAGACTCCCTCTCTTCTGAATATTCCATTTAGGAATATCAGTACTCTTATCCCACTGCTCTATTTTCTTCTCTAGAGATGTCATCTTTTCTTGCTGTAGATGGTGTTGTAGGATCATCTGTTCTACTTTTTCTTCCAGAGCAGTAAATTTATTTATTACTTTACGCATTTCTCCTTTAAAATGGTCTGAAACTATTTGTATTTTCGGTTTAATTTTATCGAACTGGGAATTTAACCATGCGTATTAAAAAAAATCTCTCTCAATGTGTTGTGGTTCTTTTCACGAGGTCTCCTGCTTCTCTCGATCATCTTCCTTTCCTGGTTGAATTTGAGTATTGTTTTCATCCTCGTCGTTTCTCTGGACTTGATGTTCTGGCCCCTTTCTCAACTCTCCAACCGGAGCGTCTTTCTTGTAACAATGTTACTAAGCTTTAACGCTTTATTAAAAATTCTGTCTTTTTTTCACCTCTCTCTTCTATTCCTTTTCCTTTCTCTCTCTCTCTCTCTCTCTCTCTCTCTCTACAGGTACAGGTTTTTTACCGGTAGTTGCAGATCAGCTGTCCTCAGTGCTATAACACTATTTTGCAGATTTAAGCTGAATGTACATACAATTCTTTCTTTGTACAAGTTTCTATTTGGAGCTGATATGTTAAGGTATGCTTGCTTCATAGACTGCGGTCTGCAAATTATACTTGCTATATGACCTTATGTGACCTTCCTTTTGTCAATTGAAGTAATTACTTCCTCTTTAAGTAAAAGACCAATATAAGGCGTACAGATCCTTGTGATTGCATTCCTAGTAGCTTCCCTCCTCCAAAAGTATAATAGAGAAATTAGGACCTATTAACATTTCATATCTGCACAACTTCGTATATCACTCTTTTTTAGCTTGAAATATAATTATGATCTCGCTGTACTTGCCGCCCTCCGTTGCCAGTACTGGGTCCACGTTTAGCTAATCTTCTTCCTTTGTCCTCCGTCCACTCTCCCCTGCCGACTCTCCACCGACCACAAGACATAAATTAGTTCCCAAACAATTTTTCACCCCGCCTACGGTATTCAACTGTATCCGCTGTCTCCTCCATCAAACGCCGACACCCCCGTCCCTAGATCAACTCGCACCCTGCATTACCTGCGAAACATGACCAGCATGCGCCGACACGTCATCGCTCCACCACCCCCCCAACAAAATATTTTTTACTAAATATTCCTGTAGATCTAGGACACTAAGCTAATCTCCAGGGGAAGAAGAATGAAAAATAGACTTTATTAATTAAACCAGGAACTATAGAGGAATAAGACATTTTTTAAGCTAAATCAGCCAAACTGGAAAAATGGCGGATATGAAGAATTATTTAAAAATGTCCCATTTTTGACAATCCATGGTAATTCCAGGTGAAAAAGAAAAAAATCCACTTAACATACCATACTTTGGTAAACTCTGTACTTGATTTGTAGGACTGCTCCGTAGCCAAAATCAGTCCGAATAAATAAATAATATGCATGTTTGCGCAGAGATACCAGCAGTTGGGGCCGCCGGTGGGTACACGGGTATCAGGTTACTTCTTGGTGTTGCGTTTACAAAACTCCAGCACTAAACTTGGAGTTTGAAGATTACCACCCCTACAATACATGGTTAAAGGGTTACTACAAGCACCATGACCACTGAATGTGGCCTGTAGTCTCAATGTGCAGCGTTTCGCTATGAAGCGCCATGCCTATATTAACCTCTCCGCTGCTGGAAGTGTAACTCCGCTTACGGCATCGTCTTCGGTTGTCATTGGCCAAATCAGAACAGGAATTCCAGGAAGGTTAATATCAACTCTGTGCATCGGGTACCAGCACGCACAGCATGGCGGCTCCATTCCATCCCCGTCCTCCCCCCTCAGCCTAAATGGCCAGAGACAACCCGTTCTAAAGCTCAGTGATCCTGGTCTGCGGTATTCATTTGCCCAGGAAATTCTGAGAAATCTCTCCAAGTTTTTATTACATTATACAGCTCTCAAACTATTAGATTTTCAAATATTAATGCAATAAAATATTCCATTTGCATCGAGAGAGGGGTCCGTTGAAGGTTAGCATTTTGCTCAAAAATATGTTTGGAATATGTTTCTTATTTTTAAGACGATGCATTAATTATGCCACAGAAAGAGATTTTAAAGAAATGTCAGGCATTGGAAAGAGTGGTGCAATGTGAGGCTTGCTCCAGGCAGAAAATAAAAATATATTATTAAATTATAGATATTATATTTAATCAGATTTAACCCATTATATGCAACATTGTTCACTGTGCAAAACATATCCCTTAAATCTGTGGACAGTATAGGAAAGGGTCAATTTACACACCTCCTGGCATTTCGGGGTTCTTTTTGATTCTGATCTCTCTTTTACTCCCCATGTCCAATTGATAGCCAAATCCTGTCGCTTCCAACTCAAGAACATAGCGCACATCCGCCCATATCAAACACCGGACGCGGTTAAGGTACTGGTTCACGCTGTTTTCTCTCTTGCCTTGACTACTGCAATCCCCTTCTCACCGGTCTTACATGTTCCCAGCTTGCACCGCTGCAATCTATAATGAATGCGGCTGTGAGGCTTATTTTCCTGTCCGGTCGCACCTCCCACGCCTCCACGCTCTGTCAGTCCCTGCACTGGCTTCGAGTAGGATATAGGGCCCAATTCAAAATTCTGGCGCTTGCTTACAAATCCCTAGATAATGCTGCCCCAACATACCTATCCTCCCTCATACACAAGTATGTCCCATCAAGACCCCTGCGCTCAGCCCAAGACCTACGCCTATCCTCTGCCCGGATCCCCACCTCTGATGCTCGCCTTCAAGACTTCTCCAGGGCTGCACCTATTCTGTGGAACTCCCTTCCCTCCTCAATCAGACTTTCACCCAGCCTCCACTCCTTCAAAAAATCTTTGAAAACTCACTTCTTCATTAAAGCGTATCTATTAAACTGTCAGCAGGTTTCTCATCCCCCACCCCATGACTCCGTTCCTGCAACTGTCAAAAATGACCTACCAAGCACTCAATAAACCCTTCTCTGACAAACTATGTAATTCCCCTACTTTAACCCTTTGTGTCACTATACCCCACTCCCTCTAGCATGTAAACTCATCGAGCAGGGCCCTCAACCCCCTCTGTTCCTGTACGTCCAGTGGTCTGATCTCAATTATGTGTCTGTTAGTCCACCCATTGTACAGCGCTACGGAATTTGTTGGCGCTATATAAATAATAAAATAAAATAATAATAATAATTTCACATGGACAGAGAGGGACATTTTACTTTAGGGGTGTGAGAAGGGGTGTGGCCAGGGGCGGGGCTGTTATGAGAAACTGTAGGTGACTTACTAATAATTTATTATAAGAACAATGTATCTTATTTACACAGACTGATTTCCAAACACATTTATTGTAGTTTAACCCCTTAAGGACCAAACTTCTGGAATAAAAGGGAATCATGACATGTCACATGTCCTTAAGGGGTTAAAGACACATTACTATTGCTATGGAGCTCTGTTATACACAAATTGACAAATGGCAAATGATTTAGGGAAACTAGAAAAATGGCCAGAGTTGTGGCAACTGACATTTAATGTGGATAAGTGCAAGATAATGCATCTTGGACGTAAAAACCCAAGGGCAGAGTATAGAATATTTGATAGAATCCTAACCTCAACATCTGAGGAAAAGGATTTAGGGGTGATTATTTCAGATGACTTAAAGGTAGGCAAACAATGTAATAGAGCAACAGGAAATGCTAGCAGACTGCTTGGTTGTATTGTACGCAGTACTTGAGACCGTATCGCCAGAAAGATATTGATACTTTAGAGCAGGGGTCCTCAAACTACAGCCCATGGACCGCATCTGGCCCGCCAGTGTCCTGAATCCAGCCCAAGGAACCAGAGCCACCCGATGGGCCCTATATCTTCAGGGGCCCGGTGTGCTCTGCGGCCATGCAATTGCGCGACCGGGCCCTTTAAAAAAAATTAATTTTAAAAATCGCAGCTGCAAGTAGTGCTGGGAGGAAGTGACGGCCGGTCACTTCCTCCCAGCTCCCTCCACGCGGGAGGGGAGAAAGACAGGCTGCGGGAGCCACGCCGACCCCATCAGCCACAGCCACCCTCCTGCAAAAAAAAGGTAAGCAAAATTAGCTGTGTATGTATGTATATCTCAGTGTGTGTACATGTGTCAGTATGTATGTCAGTATAAATGTACATACGTATGTACGTACGTCAGCATGTGTGTATGTATGTCAGCATGTATGTATATATGTAAGTCAGTACGTGTCTGTATGTATGCATGTCTGTCTGTGTGTATGTATCTGTATATATGTGTGTGTATGTATTTCAGTATGTATGTCTGTTTATGTATGTATGTATGTATGTCAGTATGTGTGTGTGTATTTATGTCCCTATGCGTGTGTGTGCAGTGTGCATAGGAATTCGTTCATAGTCCAGCCCCTAACAGTGTCTGAGGGACCGTGAACTGGCCCCCTGTTTAAAATGTTTGAGGACCCCCGCTTTAAAGAGACCACAGAGAAGAGCTACTAAACTGGTTCATGGATTGCGGGATAAAACTTACCAGGAAAGGTTAAAGGATCTTAACACGTATAGCTTGGAGGAAAGATGGAACAGGGGGGATATGATAGAAACATTAAAATACATAAAGGGAATCAACACAGTAAAGGAGGAGACTATATTTAAAAGAAGAAAAACTACCACAACAAGAGGACATAGTCTTAAATTAGAGGGACAAATGTTTAAAAATAATATCAGGAAGTATTACTTTACTGAGAGGGTAGTGGATGCATGGAATAGCATTCCAGCTGAAGTGGTAGAGGTTAACACAGTAAAGGAGTTTAAGCATACGTGGGATAGGCATAAGGCTATCCTAACTATAAGATAAGGCCAGGGACTAATGAAAGTATTTAGAAAATTGGGCAGACTAGATGGGCCGAATGGTTCTTATCTGCCGTCACATTCTATGTTTCTATGTAACTTTGAAGACGTTAAATAGCTGTATATGACAAACACACACAGCCATCAGCTATATCTGTCAGTTATCGGAATGCCAAAACCTTGGAAACAAATTGAACTCAAAATAAACAAAGTGTGCTGCTTGCTGCACCTAATTAGGGCCCAAGGAAAAACCAAAAGCAAGAAATACAGAGAATAGATAAGTGAGCTGAAAACTTTAGGTGAAACTATACAAACTAGCTGCATTTTTCAGCTAAGCTGTATGGAATAAAACGTGTAATGCCCAACAAATACCCAAAGTGAATCTAAAATTTTAGGTAAAACACAGCAATTCACACTTTTCCATAAACTCAGAAATAAGCCCACATTACACATTATCCCTGAAATTAAATACTTCTAATTATCTGGGCGTTGTGAGCGCCAGTTATCTTTCAAGAAAATCCCAAAACGATTGCACATTCAATGTCTTAAAGCAAAGACCGTTAGCTCTTTGAGTGCCAGAGGTGTGACAAAGCACTTGGCACACCTGTACTGCTGAATGGGTTAAATCTGCAAAGCATACGTATACAGAACACGTTGAATGGCCCTCCAGAGACCAAGGAGTTAAATGAGGACATCTAAGCATTTTAAGGCTTACCAGGGGCTGGGAAAATGCAAAGTGTTACAGCGTTTACAATGCTCCATGACAACCACAGCATTGGACAACAACGTCCTGGCAGTTAGCAGCTACAGGGACCGAAACAAACCCTTCCAAAACGAACACGACACACCTGAACAGGTAAGAAATACCAACATCATACAAAGGGCGTTCGGTGGGGTTTGGGGATTTGGGTAACTAAAAGTAGTCTATAAAATATGCAAGGGTCCCTGGAGATACGGAAGGGTGCCTCTCACAGCTTTTTGGGCCAGCTGCACTTCTCTGCCATATGTAACCACCAAACAAATCAATTTAATCTTTACTAAGCGAGAGCAGTGGGTCCCAGACTTATTGGAAGATAAACAAGGTTAAGGAACACTTCAATGATTAAAAAATATTCCAAGGTAAACTTACTTTAATTACCTTTGTTAGTTGTGAAAAAGAATTGCCTTGTTTTTTGACATATTACTTTTTAAAAAATGACTTGTAATAATCTGAGTTACTTCTCACAGCCTACCCTTACTTATTTAACTTTACTTGGTCAGAACGATCACACAAAATGTAAAAGTCTGCAGGTCAGCGCTGGCTGCCTGAGTTTGGTATAAGTAATCGCACACTGGGGGCTGGTAAACTGAATGCTTGTTGGCCAGATAACTTGTGCGTTTAACCAGGGAACGCAAAGATGGCGGCCAGCACGGAGCAAGTGTAAAGAAGGAAATGCATTGATTAGAGAGGGATTTTAGTTATAAAATAAAGCAAATTTGGGTTACAATATACTTTAAATAATTATAAATTGATGACAGATTTCCTTTAACATCACATTAACTTGCAGCCTTACTAGAGAAGTATGTAACATGTATGTATATATATATATATGCATTCTAGCTAGATTGGCTTAGTAGTTTAATTTAGTAGCCAGTTGGAAAACACAATCTTAACATGTCTTTAAAAAATTTTTTAAAAAATTTAAAAAAAATACCAACATACAAATGTAAAGTGTTGTGCTAATAAAAAAAGATGATATCTGTGTATCATGCTACAATGTCTGAAAATATATACACTATATGACTTCTGAAAAAAACCACTCCAGACACCATAACTTCATTCACATTAAAGGACCACTAAAGTGCCAGGAAAACATACTCGTTTTCCTGGCACTATAGTGCCCTGAGGGTGCCCCCACCCGCCGGGCTGGATGGCGAGGAAAGGGGTTAAACTTACCTTTATTCCAGCACCGGGCGGGGAGCTCTCCTCCTCCTTTCCGCCTCTGATCCTCCTCCTGGGCTGAATGCACATGCGCGGCAAGAGCTGCGCGCGCATTCAGCCGGTCTCATAGGAAAGCATTCATAATGCTTTCCTATGGACGCTTGCGTCTTCTCACTGTGATTTTCACAGTGAGAAGCACGCAAGCGCCTCTAGCGGCTGTCAATGAGACAGCCACTAGAGGATTTGGAGGCTGGATTAACCCATTTATAAACATAGCAGTTTCTCTGAAACTGCTATGTTTATAAAAAAAGGGGGTTAATCCTAGAGGGACCTGGCACCCAGACCACTTCATCAAGCTGAAGTGGTCTGGGTGCCTAGAGTGGTCCTTTAAATTGTTATGGTGTGAGGAAGTCCTTGGCACCATCTTACTTTAAGGGCTTAAGCCGTTAAACGGTTTTGACCCCATACCCTGGAAGACAATCTCTCTGCCCTCAATTTCAGTCATAGTCCTTACGAGTGAGCACAGACCCATTCTATCCCTCCTATTCCCAGTCCTGATTCCCCATGCTGTCCTTTCCACATAATGTTGGATTAGCAATACATAACAGTATTTAATCTAACACAAAGAAGTTCTCTTGGTGTGTACCAGCCAAAATATACTGAGCAGACGCGTTCAATATAAAAACCACGACTTGCTGGACTGGTCAGGTAACGGTTTAATTCCAGGTAATATTTACATATACTATATCTGCATGTGTTTGTGCGATCTGAAAATATGATTAAATAGGAATTTGCACGCCTGTAACGACCTCTCTGCTGGAGATGAAAGCCTCCACATTTTGAATTGTTCCTTTAAAGCAGGGGTCCCTCCAGATGTTTTGGACTACATCTCCCTTGATGCTTTGCCAGCATTATGCCTGTAAGAGCATTATGGGGAATGTAGTCCAAAACATCGAAGGTTCCCCACCCCTGTTTCAAGGGACACTATAGGCACTCAGACAACTTCATCCCAATGAGGATGTCTGGTTGCAGTGTCCCTGTCCCTTTTACCCTGCAATGTCAAATATTGTAGTTTCAGAGAAAGTGCATTGTTTATATTGCAGGGTTAAGACTGGTCTTCCAGACAGTCACTAGTGGAGCTTCCTGGCCTTTCACGGAGTATAACTCCACAAAGCAACGCCAGACGCCATCAAGCTTTGTGTGTGGATGTCTAGCGTCTTGAAAATTCTGCTAATTCCCAACGCTATAGTGTTCCTATATGAATTTAAAAGAAAACAGGGCCATGGGTGAACAAAGGTATCCACAGGTCATAGGTTATTTCCAATGCCCCTCTTTAGCCCTGACTGCTGTTCCATACTAGCTGGTTACTGTGCATGCGCACATCATGTCACAACATCCTTTATCTTCCCTAAACAATTTTGTTTCTCCAATAACACTTAATTTTTTAGGTTTTTATAGAGCAGCCAATTATTAAAAAACAAAACAAAAACAGCTTATAAACAAACTACAAAATCTAGACCCTTCTCTGCCTTTACCGTTGCGCTGAGGAGGGATTTATAAGGATAATACTATAGAAAGCAATTGGAGCATGCGGATAGGCCAATCACATGTTTGACTGGGCAGCGCCCACTTTAAATTTTAATTTCAATGCAGCAGCAAAACACTATATCTATATAAGTTATATCACTAGTATAACTTTCATTGTAATGGATTGCTGTTCTTGCAGATTATTACAATATATTATCTGTGCAATGTATTAAAAGCAATGTGTGTGCATTGCAGTCCAGAGTGGGTCTTCAGAGGAAAGCCAAGCGTTACTGTAACAATGCCTCAGAACTTCACACCACAAACCAATGAGAGAAGTTCAGTGGAGCAGTAACACAAACCCACACCAGAGGGCGCACACACACTGCTTTAAATCCATGGTCACTCACAGTGTAGGTCATGAGTCAGAAGACAGATTCATTATCCAATAAAATTGTCTCCTTATTCAGTTAGAGGTTTTATGCGTTAGGTAAAGTTCTTATTGGTCAGCTTCTGCTAATTGGACTTATTGAACAGATTCTGTTAACGATCTTGGTATCACACGGTCACCAAAATGTAACATTTAAAATGCCGACTGTCACTTGTGAGAAAGTCACAGAGAAAGTGCTGCGGCCCTTAGAAAGCAGTGCCATTAAAATACAGTCGGCACTCCAGATGTTTTGGACTACACCTCCCATGATGCTTTGCCAGCATTCTGGGTCTCAGAGCATTATGGGGGATGTAGTCCACAACATCTGGAGTGCTGGAGGTTGCCTATACCTGGATTAGCTGAATAGGTCAGGAGGGGTAGCCGAGAGTGATGGGAATTAGCCTGCTTTATAATGGCACTGCATCCTAAAGCAGACGGTTTAAGAACTTCATGTTTAACGTGCATAGACAATATCCTCACTAATCTGGAAATGTTATTAATATAAAATAACCCCTCCCCACCCCCAATAAACAGAATTGCCCAGAATGAAATGCGTCTATCTTGCGCCATACCAGTTTATACCACGGTTTGGGCCAGTGATAGGCTGAGAGCAGGGCCTGCCCAAGACATAGTGCTTCCTGGGTTGAAGGATTGGATGCAGTGTCTGTGTGTAGTGCATGTAGTGGATGCAGTGTATTTGTGTAGTGCATGTAGTGTGTGTATAGTGCATGTAGTGGATGCAGTGTATTTGTGTAGTGCATGTAGTTTGTGTAGTGGAGGCAGTGTCTGTGTGTAGTGCATGTTGTGCATATAGTGGATGCAGTGTCTGTGTGTAGTGCATGTATTGGATGCAGTGTCTTGTGACGGGTGATTTTTTTTTTTTTTATATGTATGATTAAGTGTATTCCTCAATCCCTGCCTCTTACCTGTGGTCAGGGAGGAGGGACACTTGTGTCCATGGTGGTCCAGTGGCACAGAGGTGGCCCAAGGAGTCTGATGTATCCCTCTTGCAGCTTCCTGTCATCTTCTCTCTCGAGCCAATTGAGCGCAAAATGCTGCCCATGTAAAAGTGCCACCCGGAGCCGTGGCCCCACTACTGCCTATGGACAGGCCGGCCCTTGCTGAGATAGCTCATCTAGTACGGTGTGAAGTGGAGAATAGCTCCACCTCCTCCATTTAATCCCTGGTGGCCAGGATGGTGTGAACCGAACATTTCTGCTAAACGCTTAGTAAACCATTCATAGTGATGCAGAAACCAGCGTGCGCAGACTCCAGACACCATAACCAAGTCAATCAGATGAAGTGGTTATGGTGCCTACAGTGTCGCATTAGTGTACAAACTTTCCAGTTTCCATATTTGTGTTAGCAGCCAATGATGTAACTTTATGAATGCATTTTTATTTAATTGTTTGATGAAAGATCTTAGAGAAATGGAAGGAGTATAAATTCCATACAAGTTGCTGATTTTGCAAATGAGATTCCGACTCCCCCTGACTAAACTTACAAAGACAATCAAGAAAAATGCTACTACTGCAGATGTAATCACTGACTGATCAGGAGAAATTATGTGACTGCAATACAATTCATGCAATCACTTTGGAAAAATAAAAAAATGAAAGAATTTCCGAAATAGCTGCAGCAGAAGGAAGTCTCCCCAAATCGAGAATAGAATCCCCCAGCAATCTTATCTTCACACCAAATATTTTCCAAATTATTCTGCTGATTTGCTACGGAGATGATACTTGCCTTTAAATTATCTTTCTCTGTATCTCATGCTTTCATCGATCTTTCTGCTTCCTCTCGATCTCACCCTTACCGTATCCCTCTTGCCGTTTCTGTTCTAATTCTATGTTCTGTAACGCTTTCATATTTTCCGCTATATATTTTAGGTGTTTTTCCAGCCTTTGGTGTTTTTTAGGACCTTCAGTAGTCCATTGTCTGGTTTAACCTGTAGTTCACTGTGCTTTTCGATAACAAGCTAGCCTGAGTCCACTGGCTATTTTCTTTTTACCCTTCAGTTTTTTTTTTATGTCCCCTGTCCTTTTTGTTTGATTTTTCAGGACAATTAACAGTCACAGTAAATGGAAAAAAGGGATTTGCTTGTTGTGGAGATATGAGCATATATTCAAATGAAGCTGGAACACACTCAAGGTTAAGTGATGAGTTTTATTAATGAGTTAATTTATTCTGTATTACCGTACCAAAACTTTGCCTTGTCCACTTGTCGTGGCTTGGTTTAATAAAATGTATCATTGAACCTTGAGCAATGTTGCTGCGTTGTTTTAGAGTGTTTAGAATTCTTAGAAAAGCAAATATTGAGTAAGGTTCTAAATGTCGCAAACAGACCAATCAATGCAGACAATGATGGAACATCTGAATTTTAAAAAAAAATATGCTAAAATAGTAGCTGTAACTATAACGAACAGGAGAATTAAAAAATAAAAATTTGTGCCTACATTTTGTATTTTTTTTTTTACACTTCACTACAATTCTGTGTTTAGAGGATCCCATTCAACAGAATTTCTGTAAAATTTTGCCGGTCCATTATTTTGCAAGCAATGCACACTTTTTTTTATTTTATTTTATTTTTTTGAATCATGCATGGGTTTTTAACCCCTTAAGGACACGACGTGTGAGACATGTCATGATTCCCTTTTATTCCAGAAGTTTGTTCCTTATGGGGTTAAACGGTTTCTAGGGCCCACTGAGTGGGCCTGAATTAGTGTCTGAGCACAGTAAACTGTTCTCGAAGTTATAGACTTTAGTGGCACTCAAGAATTGGTCTGATAATCACGGAAATAAAATAAATGCATGGCGTCTATAAATCAGCCACAAGTTCGATTTCATGTTTCACCTTCTTTCCAGGAAAAAATATGGCAAAAAACCTGAAAGACTCGAAGGTCCACACACTCAAGATCCAGCAGACTTACTGGGCAAAGGACACGAGTGAAGAGGACTTGTTGAAGTTGGGGGCCATCTGCTTGGACAAAGTAGAAGAACAAGTGGATTATTATGATACAGATGGGTATGATCTGGCTGTCAAGGACACATGGCTGAGTAAAACTGAACATAAATGGAGACTGATTGTCGACAAGAGTGGGCCAGTCAAACCATCTCCACCATCCAAAACCAGTCAAGACCATCTTCAGAACGGTAATTTGAAAGCCAGTCGACAGGTAGACAATGACCTTACAAGAAAAAAACAACAGAAAGCTTTAAAAAATTATCAAAATAGCAACAAAATATTAGCAGATATGGATGCCGTAGAAAAAGGTTTGTCAACTTGCTACGAGCTAGAAAATGAAATTGAGATTATGCAGTATCTTTCCAAAGATTTATCCCCAACAGAAGACATTAACGGTGCAGCGATGGGAGATTTTCTACAAGTTGTCCGGATCCAAAAATACGCAAGTTTCGTCTTCACGAAGCAGGTGACCTACCGATTAAGGGATTGTTATACAATTACACTAACAACGGACCAGAAAAGCTCCAGAAAAGTGGCTGTGGTGTCTCTTCAAGTTGAAATCCAAAATGTCACACAAGGGTTTCAAAGGCTGGAACAGTTGGCCAATGATCTGGAACTCCAACTCCAAAATATGTAACGTCGTAGAAAAAAAAAAGAAAAAAAAAAAGAACTAGATTAATATGATTATAAAGTATTGTGGGCTGGCGTGGCGCTTACAGAAACAAACAGGGGGTTTTCAAGGTCAAGACACAGACTGATACACTGTATTCACAACCTGATGCAGGAACAGGTACATTAAAAGCAGCACTAGCTGGATTACAACTCCCAGACACCACAGCCAAGCTCGGCTTACAAAGATTAAAGAGATTAATAACTTGTGATTGCCAACTTTCATTGCTGAAATAGAAAGTAGTAGATACCTGGAATAGCCTCCCAGTGAAAGTAGTAAAGGCTTTATAGAAATTAAATAATGACCAAGATGGGTACAATGCTTTCTTGAAGAAATCAGTGGGAGGTTTTATAAAAACGCATAAACGGACCAATTGTGTCTTGGAAATGTTACGATAAACTATTCCAATGTAAGGAAGGTACTCCTGAAAACTAACACTTCCAGTTAAAGAAACTCACCACAACAGCCTAGTGGGGGGAAAAAGTCTATTTGGCGGTTGTATGAGCAAACATTCCGATTTCCTGGTAGACTGCTTTTGAATGGTTTTAAAGGACCACTCTAGGCACCCAGACCACTTCAGCTTAATGAAGTGGTCTGGGTGCCAGGTCCAGCTAGGGTTAACCCTTTTTTTTATAAACATAGCAGTTTCAGAGAAACTGCTATGTTTATAATAGGGTTAATCCAGCCTCCAAAGCCTCTAGTGGCTGTCTCATTGACAGCCGCTAGAGGTGCTTGCGTGATTCTCACTGTGAAAATCACAGTGAGAAGACGCCAGCGTCCATAGGAAAGCACTGTAAATGCTTTCCTATGAGACCGGCTGAATGCGCGCGCAGCTCTTGCCGCGCATGCGCATTCAGCCGAAGAGGAGGATCGGAGGCGGAGAGGAGGAGGAGAACTCCCCGCCCGGCGCTGGAGAAAAGGTACGTTTTAACCCTTTCCTCTCCCCAGAGCCCGGCGGGAGGGGTACCCTGAGGGTGGGGGCACCCTCAGGGCACTATAGTGCCAGGAAAATGAGTATGTTTTCCTGGCACTATAGTGGTCCTTTAATGATATAGATTTGTGAAGAGTGCATGTTTATAAATGTAAATAGCTCGATAGAGCTATAGAGCATCTTGGAAAGGACTATAAGGGAAACAAGATATTTTAGGCTAAAATATCCAAATTACCCAACGTTTCAAATCTCTTGTCAATTCTGCACCAATTCTGGTTTAGTAAGCAAGTCCCTGCATTTATATTCTTTTACTGAAGGAATCATTTCAAAATGATGTAGGTATATTTATAGAAACTGTACCCCCTCCCAAAAATAAAGTATTGGCTTATTCATTAAATGGCAACACATGGTGACTTCAGAAACCTCAATTAGGAATGGTCTTTGTTTTGTTTTTAACTCACTTATTTTGTCCTAAAATCCTTAAAGGGACACTATAGTCACTAAAACAACTACAGCTTATTGAATTTGTTCTGGTGAGTAGAATCATTCCCTTCAGGCTTTTTGCTGTAAACACTGTCTTTTCAGAGAAAATGCAGTGTTTACATTACAGGGATACCTCCACTGGTCACTCCTCAGATGGCTACTAAAGGTGCTTCCTGGGACAGTGCTGCACAGTGTGACTGACATTCATTCTCTCCACCCTCTGCATGGAGACACAGAACATTTTTCATAGAGATGCATTGATTCAATGCATCTCTAAGATGAAATGCTGATTGGCCAGGGCTGTGTTTGGCTCTGCCCCTGATCTGCCTCCTTGACAGTCTCAGCCAATCCTAGCATTGTGATTGGCTCAGAACAACACTTCTGATGATGTCAGCCAAGCAGGCAAATCAGGGGCAAAGCCAGCAGCTGCAGACTTGAACACAAGTAAGATTTTACTATATTTAGGAAGGGAAGGCAGTGCCAGATGGTGGTTTTAACACTACAGGGTCAGGAATACATGTTTGTGTTCCTGACCCTATTGTGTTTATTTAAACTGGTGACATCATTGAAATTTACATTTTAGGGCACAGGCCCCCAGTAACAACATCAGATGTTGTTTGTCTCGAACAGCATTACACAGAGCTAAAGCAATCAGCGGCATCAACTTAAACCAACCCAACATCAACGCAACTGATCTACATCACAGAAACAAATAACGCCTATAAACTTCCTATACATCATGGCAGCCAAAATAATCTCCAATTTTAACACAAACAGGGTACATCGGTGTCAGGGAATCAACATGAGTTTTAGGCCAAAATAGACTAACATGAGAATGTATCCAATTCGGACATGCTGTGGCTTGAAATTAAATGTGAATCATTTAAATGTCAGTGAATAATTATGGAAATATCTAGAGAGTAACTCGTTTTATCTGTGTAATCCTGGAGTCTCCAATATATACTGCCTTGTATAATTAAATTATAATAGAACAAATATAATCATTATATAAATGTATATTTTATTTCCAAATGAATATCTTTCTCATTAAAAGTAATCAAAGTAACAAAGATCTCAAAAAGAGTTCCAATCAAGAAGATTGTTGGTTTTGTATGTTTGTGTGAAAACTTTTGAATGACTGTGGCGCCTGCAATGTTATTACAACGTATTATTACCCAAATGACCCAAAATAAGAGGAGTTTGTTTAATTTGAAAGAAATAAAATTGTGGTACGTTCAAGGAAGCGATGAGACAAAATAAACACTGCAGCTTTAAAGGAAGGGATAGAAGCGTTTTCATTTTGGCTCTGAGAATAATCTGTCAGGTTGTGACTGTTTAAACATTAGTAGAATCCTGATGAGAATTAATGGTGATTGTCAATAGGGGGATTAAAATAAACGCTACAAAAATTGAATGAAAATCAGGCTCGATGCAAAGAGACTAAATCCCTACCAGAGCAGATTAACACAATTTAAGGTCAATAAAACCTTAATTCCTTTTGTCAGCCTTAATCTGGTGTCTGGTCAGCAAGCTACGTACTAACTAGCCTCCTGTATATACACCAGATCTAACGTTAGGACACATTACAGCCAAGTTTACTTTTATCCCTCAATTTGTAGGCTTTTTAAATAAACTCCAAAATGCCGCAAATAAAAACCCTCTTTCCCCCCACAGCCCCTCTGTGTGTGTGTGTGTGTCTTTTCCCCCACAGTCCCTCTGTGTGTGTGTGTGTGTGTGTGTGTGTCTTTCCCCCCACAGCCCCTCTGTGTGTGTGTGTCTTTCCCTTCCCCCCACAGCAGCTCTGTGTGTGTGTGTGTGTCTTTCCCCCCACAGCCCCTCTGTGTGTGTGTGTGTGTCTTTCCCCCCCACAGCCCCTCTGTGTGTGTGTGTGTGTGTGTGTCTTTCCCCCCCACAGCCCCTCTGTGTGTGTGTGTGTCCCCCCCCGCCCCTCTGTGTGTCTTACCCCCCACAGCCCCTGTGTGTCTCTTTCCCCCCCACAGCCCCTCTGTGTGTGTGTGTCTTTCCCCCCCACAGCCCCTCTGTGTGTGTGTGTCTTTCCCCCCCACAGCCCCTCTGTGTGTGTGTGTCTTTCCCCCCACAGCCCCTCTGTGTCTGTGTGTGTGTGTGTGTGTGTGTGTCTCTTTCCCCCCACAGCCCCTGTGTGTGTGTGTGTCTCTTTTCCCCCCACAGCCCCTCTGTGTGTGTGTGTGTGTGTCTCTTTCCTCGCACAGCTCCTCTGTGTGTGTGTCTTCCCCCCCACAGCCCCTCTGTGTGTGTGTCTTCCCCCCCACAGCCCCTCTGTGTGTGTGTGTCTTTCCCCCCACAGCCCCTCTGTGTGTGTGTGTGTGTGTGTCTCTTCCCCCCCACAGCCCATCTGTGTGTGTGTGTGTCTGTATCCCCCCACAGCCCATCTGTGTGTGTGTGTGTCTATCCCCCCACAGCCCCTCTGTGTGTGTCTCCTTCCCCCCACAGCCCCTCTGTGTGTGTGTGTGTGTCTTTCCCCCCACAGTCCGTGTGTGTGTGTGTGTGTGTGTCTTTCCCCCCCCACAGCCCCTCTGTGTGTCTTCCCCCCCACAGCCCCTCTGTGTGTGTGTGTGTGTGTGTCTCTTTCCTCGCACAGCTCCTCTGTGTGTGTGTCTCTTTCCCCGCACAGCACGCGCGCGCGCGTGTGTGTGTGTGTGTGTGTGTCTTTCCCCGCACAGCCCCTCTGTGTGTGTGTCTCTTTCCCCGCACAGCCCCTCTGTGTGTGTGTCTCTTTCCCCGCACAGCCCCTCTGTGTGTGTGTCTCTTTCCCCGCACAGCCCCTCTGCAGGTGCACAGCAAGCATCCGCCTGTGCCAACTTATAGTTGCGCCGGCTCTAAATGTATTGCTCACAAGCAAGCCTTATTCTTAACATTCCAATCCAGACATTGTTAATGCTCAATGCTTGGTGAACTGATCCGACATAGCTGAAATATTCAGCATACCATGAACTGCAATCCAGACTATGTAAAAATGTCACCAATCAGGACAATAAAAATAATAGCAACAGAGAGTATCACCCAAACAGTATCAACACAGAATGTTTGCAGTTTAAATGAAAGCCAAGGGGTTTAAACGCACTGTAAAAAGAATATAAAATGAAAGCAAAGAATTTACGAGTTTACTGTTTAGTGGGTCTGCCTGCAGCTCATCCCATAGACATAGAATCCCTAGACGCCGCATTGTGTGCTGAGCGGCGAGGAATGCAGCCGCCATCTTGGACCGGTCGCCGCTCTACTGAAGCTATTGAAGAACCCTTAGAAAGTCCATCTCACAAAAGGTAAGTGAAGGACTTGGGGCACTTATTGTCCTTAATACCCGACCCCTACCCCTTAATACTCCTAGTCCTTAATACCCCTACAGTGTTAATACCCCAACCCCAGCACACACAGTGTTAATACACAGTGTGCTGGGGTAGGGGTATTAACACTGTGTGTGCTGGGGTAGGGGTATTAAGGACTATGTGTGCTGGGATAGGCTGAGGTAGGGGTATTAACACTGTAGGAGTATTAAGGGGTAGGGGTATCAAGGGGTAGGGGTATCAAGGACTATAAGTGCCCCCAAGTCCTTCACTTACCTTTTGTGAGATGGACTTTCTAAGGGTTCTTCAACAGCTTCAGTAGAGCAGCGACCGGTCCAAGATGGCGCCCGCATTCATCGACGCTCAGCACACAATGCCATAGATGTGGGGCGTCTATATGTTCTATGTCTATGGCTCATCCAAGCCCCTCCAACATCATCCCATGAATCCCTGCAGCGTGTCCCCAAGAACAGCTACATTCAACACTTAACCCGTTAAAGGTCCATGGGATGCTCCATGCTTTAATGGTTGGCTTTCATGCCCTTACGATGGGATGGAATAACCTGGCATTTTGGAGCAAACTGTTAAATCATGGCTGGGGCTGGGGCTGGGGCTGGGGCTGGGGCTGGGGCTGGGGCTGGGGCGATCCTTGTACCACGTGGTCTCCTTGGTCACTGGTCCAGATTTAGTGTCCCCAAACTGACCAATCAGATGTGACAACACTCAAAATGGAATGTCTTTAATATTATCTATTAACCCCTGTGTGATCAAACGCTGAGAGGTACTGCAGCTCTGTGACAATTTTAATAAATAAAAACTGCAAAACATTTGCAGGGTTTTTACTAAAAGGGAACATTGTCAGGAATTCATAGTGAATTTCAAATTTTAGACCAAATCAGGCCGAACTGGAAGCATAACTGACTTGGAGAATGTTTCTAATTCGAATATATTGCCCTTGAACTTCAAATTCACTTTGATTACTTAACATTTCTCCCTTTAGTATACAGGTGATACTCGAAAAATCAGAATATCGTGCAAAAGTTCATTTATTTCAGTAATGCAACGTAAAAGGGGAAACTAGTATATGAGATAGACGCATTACATGCAAAGCAAGATAGTTTAAGCAGTGATTTGTCATAAGTGCGACGATTATGGCTTACAGCTCATGAAAACCCCATATCCACAATCTCAGTAAATTAGAATATTACATGCAATCAATAAAACAAGGAGTGTACATTGAACAATATCGGACCTCTGAAAAGTATAAGCACGCATATGGACTCAGTACTTGCTTTGGGCTCCTTTTGCAGCAATTACTGCCTCAATGCAGCGTGGCATGGAAGCTATCAGCCTGTGGCACTGCTGAGGTGTTATGGAAGACCAGGATGCTTCAATAGCGGCCTTCAGCTCTTCTGCATTGTTCGGTCTCATGTCTCATCTTTTTCTTGGCAATGCCACATAGATTCTCTATGGTGTTCAGGTCAGGCGAGTTTGCTGGCCCATCAAGCACAGTAATCCCACGGTCATTGAACCAGGCTTTGGTGCTTTTGGCAGTGTGGGCAGGTGCCAAGTCCTGCTGGAAAATGAAGTCAGCATCCCCATAAAGCTCGTCTGTGGAAGGAAGCATGAAGTGCTCCAAAATCTCCTGGTAGACGGCTGTGTTGACCCTGGACTTAATGAAGCACAGTGGACCAACACCAGCAGATGACATGGCTCCCCAAATCAACACAGACTGTGGAAACTTCACACTGGACTTCAAGCATCTTGCAGTGTGTGCCTCTCCATTCTTCCTCCAGACTCTGGGTCCTTGGTTTCCAAATGAGATGCAAAAGTTGCTCTCATCAGAAAAGAGGACTTTGGACCACTGAGCAACAGACCAGGTCTGTTTTTCTTTAGCCCAGGTAAGACGCTTCTGACGTTGTTTGTTGTTCAGGAGTGGCTTGACAAGAGGAATAAGACATCTGAAGCCCATGTCCAGGATCCGTCTGTGTGTGGTGGCTCTTGATGCAGTGACTCCAGCCTCAGTCCACTCCTTGTGAAAGTCCCCAACACTTTTGAATGGCCTTTTCCTGACAATCCTCTCCAGGCTGCGGTCATCCCTGCTGCTTGTGCACCTTTTTCTTCCACACTTTTCCCTTCCACATAACTTTCTATTAATGTGCTTTGAAAATACAGCACTTTGGGAACATCCAACTTCCTTCGCAATTACCTTTTGAGGCTTTCCCTCCTTATGGAGGGTGTCAATGATGGTTTTCTGCACAACTGTCAGGTCAGCAGTCTTCCCCATGATTGTGATTCCTACTGAACCAGACTGAGAGACCATTTAAAGGCTCAGAAACCCTTTGCAGGTGTTATGGCTTACTTAGCTGATTAGAGTGAGACACTGTGAGCCTAGAATATGGCACCTTTTCACAATATTCTAATTTACTGAGATTGTGGATTTGGGGTTTTCATGAGCTGTAAGCCGTAATCATCGCACTTATGACAAATCACGGCTTGAACTATCTTGCTTTGCATGTAATGCGTCCATCTCATATATTAGTTTCCCCTTTTACGTTGCATTACTGAAATAAATGAACTTTTGCACGATATTCTAATTTTTTGAGTATCACCTGTATAACCCTGTATAACAGGGCTTGACAAAATTTGTTTGGAATCTAGGAGCCAGCTAAAAAAGTTAGGAGCCAGTCATTTTCAATTAGAAAAATGCAATTCTTAAAGGAACACTATAGCCACCAGAACCACTAC